TGTACACTAGAGTTGGTGTGACCTGAGATACAGACAATAGAGCAAAACTGATGAATGCTGCACAGAGACAGATGTGTGTCTGGAGCACCACTGAACCCTTCAATCTCTCATTCTCAATGACAGCCAAGGACATTCAGTCTTGACTTTCCCAATTACCAGCAGTAAAGTCTCTTCTCTACAGATTCAGCTTAGTCTAACCAAAAATTCACCTTCCTTTACGGTAATATAAAACGACAAGACATTGTGTACAGACACTGATATTACAGGCAGAAAGCTGAGACTACAAGACAATAAGAAAAGAAAAGAAAAATGTAGCCTACTTTATATTCCTTAGATGTCAACAACAAAAGAGATTATTAATATCTTTAGTAAAATGAGCTCACAAGGGACAACCACCTCAACACATGTTCTTCTAGTCGCTCTCTCTGTGGTTATCCATCAGTGTAATCGATGTGACAGGCTCATTAGTGCTCTGACTCAACTATCATTCAGCAGCAGTCACTCAGAAGAAACATCTCTGTGTTCAAACTCAATCACGAGTGATCTGTACCGAACACTACATACACGTACACACACATACTATAGAAACTCAACTATAGAAGTACTTTAGTCTCAGATTGTGATTTTTTAAAACTAAAACATAGCACCTTTGTTATAATTAAAACTGTAACAAATGTATTGGTCATTGTTAGTTAATGTTAGTTAATGCATTAAATATAGTTAACAAATGGAACCTTATTGTAAAGTGTTACCACACAAAACATCATTTCAATATCTACTGTGTGAAAATGAATTACATACACTTCCCACAAATTACGACTGTGGCTTATTTTGTGGTGTAATTTTCACCACAAACAACAATTTTTCCAGTAATAGTTTTATCAAACATTAGTGTACTTGGTAACCAAAGAGAAAAGTATGAGTAAAGAGTATGTTCGTAGTGTCAGTGGAGGATATAGTATTCACATAAGTAGCATTAACAGACAAAGTATAACTGCTCTCAAGCAGGTCCTGTACACGAGAGGTATTATGCTTGGTCAATCTGATCAGCTGTCTGTAACCTTAATCTCTAAAACACGCTGTGTGTGCACAATGATCTACACAACAAAACACACACACTGTTAAGACATTGATGTGTCAGTATGACAGTGACGCTTTGTGACAGCAATCACACTACACTGCTGTGATCAGAAAGACTTGCAATGACTGTGCTGCCTGACCAGTGAAGAGACAGAAATGACACAATATTAGCAAATGGCAGCTTAACTGCATCTTAGTTTAGTTAGAATAGCCTATATTTCTATGAAACACATGTGATGGAAATATTAGTGTCATTCACAGATATTCTATCTTACAGTGTCGTGTTAACCATCAGAGAAAATTAACATTTTAATAGTTTTTGTTTTTGGAAAGAGAGAGGGAGGGAAAGAAGGATAGGGAGAGAAAGAAAGCTGCTCTGCAGAAGATCAATGCAGAGCTTCAGTCCAGTGTTCATTTGAAGTGCTAATAGAACCGCTTGCAGCAGAGCACAGAAAGAGCAATGCAGTAGACGGCACAGACTTCATTTGCACATCCTCGCATGACAGCAGTCCAACAATTTAAAACAAAATAAACAATAACAAAAACTGTACTGCAGGAGGTACCCTGGAAATATTCCTAATACCTGCACCACCCTTTTTCAGTTTGAGTGGAAACACATAACATTTCCTGTAACTGTTGGAAAACACTGGATTTTCCAGAAAGCAAATGATCAGGTATAAACGACACTAAATTTAATAATTTACTACGACATTCTGCTCAGGCTGTGAACTGATCAAACTTATTTTAGCAGCACTATAAACTTCTTTTTTGGCTATAAACTTCTAGATTTGTTCATATTTCTCTTCCAGGTTTTTATATGAGAGCTACTATGTAAGCAGTGTGTCTTAAAATAAATGGCAATATGGTTATGAAGCTCATTATTACATTCCTTGTGTCAATGAATGTGTCTTTATCATACTGCAGAGGAGGTTTGTTCACTACTGCTGCTGCTGCAGTGTTTAATATTCACATGATGAACCAGCTTTACTCTGAAATGTACTGTCTGACTGATAAAATTCTTACAATTTTCCATTCATTACTGTAATGATTAATGAGCTATTTTAGATTACAACCGATGATGCATAATACAAATTATATCAGATCAGTATGCCATATGTTAAGCAATAAATCTGCATAATGCCATTTCTGAGCAGAATTCTAATCCTTGCTTTTCACATACATATAATATTATCTCCAAAGTGTTGCTGTATTGCTTATAAAAGCCTTTTCTATGTCTGTCTTGAGCTAAATTCATCGGTTTTCTTTCCAAACACTGCCACCTAGTGATGATGAAACACTGTTGCAATAACCCGTTTCATAATTATAACCTGTTTAATATTAGTAGCAGCCCTTGTGCTTACCATGTGATGTTAACTATAATGAGGAAATCTATAAATTGAGTAATAGCAGTGAAAACGTTTTCAAAACTAGGCGTTACTACTAAATTTAAATGTTTGTTCATTAAAAAGAGCAAGAAAAGTTTTACAGTATATCAAAGTCCAGCAAAAAACACCTTACCACTTTTAAGATGGAAATGAAGACACTGGCACAGTTTTGTTTGTTGTCTGCTTACCAGCAATACACTCTGGTAATAATAAAGGGTAGTTCACCCAAAAATGAAAATTCTGTCATTAATTACTCACCCTCATGTCATTCCAAACCCATAAGACCTTCGTTCATCTTCGGAACACAAATTAAGATATTTTTGATGAAATCTGAGAGCTCTCTGACCCTCCATAGACAACAACGACCTCATAGCCAATACACATGTATTCGGATTTTGATATCAATAGGTCTTTAAAAGCTCTAATAAAAACAAAGTGTGTGATTAATCACATAATAATACATCTAAATGTCTTTGTGTACAGTAAGTGTCTATGGATGTCAGGATTCCCCTCTACTCTGGCTGTTTGACTGACAGCTCCATTGAGTCATATACAGCATGTTGACAGCAGCCATTAAAACGTCCGGTGTCAGGTTATGTTTTACAAGGCTTAAACTGTAACTCAAGTACTAGCCTGTGAAACAGTGGCAGTATGGATTGCTGTGTATATGTGAGTGAAAGCTGACATGCTGGGGATGCATTTTGGCTCCACTTACTCTCATCTATCAAGTTCACACAAGCCATGCACTGAATCTGTATGGACGAAAAGAAGGTTGTTCCTTGTTATATCAGAGAACAATAGATGCCTCTCCCCGTTAAGTGTCCTAATGCATCTAGACACACTGCCAACAGAAGTGCTTATAGTTTCTGGCTTGCTGTTGGGTTTTAACTGCCTCCTTATGGTGCAAATGAACAGGATAAGAACAAGCAGGAGTGCATGCCCCCCAGTAAAGTGAATCAAAACTTGTACAAACGAATATATTAGCCTGGTTCAAGCCAACCATAGCCACGTCAGTGCTACAATACATGATAGTTATTCTTTTCACAAACAGGGCAAAACTCAGTCAAACACTTTCTTCTATATTATTGATGCTATTTCCGCTGGAAAAGCATTTCTCTGTGCTAAGACATACACCAAACTTTTCAGCCATATAGTCATCTCTCGACAACTTTTAGAGTTCTAGTAGGGGTGGGCGATGTGACCAAAATCTTATTTCATGATATTAGTAATTTTATTTCACAGTAATGATATATATCATGATAAAGGTATTTTTGCTTTAAATAAGGTCTTTATGATATCAAAAATGTTGATACCATAGAAATTTCACAATTCTTGTCTTTCAGTGTCAATATCACAAAAGACTAATACTAGCCTAAATAAAAAGAAAAAAAAGAAAAAAGGAAGGCTCACTAATGACAAGTAAACAGTCAGCGATTAAATAAGAATAAGAAACTAATTACAAGCAACAGGACAAAAAAAACTACAGTAGAACAAAAGAAGAATTTATTTGCAAAAACAGATAACTCAATTTTTTTAATTTTCAAAAATCATGTTTTTTATTATGTTATCATGTTTTTATTGTGTTAGTTAGCTGTATTATTTAGTAATTTTTAACCTAATCAAAATAAGCCAACTGCAGTTTGATTGAGATTCATTGCAATGCACAATGAAAAAATATGATTTTTGAAAATTGTTAAGAACGGAGTTATCTGTTTTTGTAAATGAACTCAAATAAATAAGAAATGCTACATACATTGTATAAAGTAATCAATTGTATAAAAACAGTGCATATTTTTCACTGAGTAAATTAAATATATATTTCTTCTTATTAAAGTTAGTCAAGAGCAGTGAGAGATTTTCTCTCATTTGTTGTTTGAGTAACATGAATGACAGACAGCAAGAATTTTAGACTACTGTCACTTTAAGAGCTGCCCGGATCCAATGTAACACGTCTCTGCTGTTTGCTTTTAAATTACTGTGTTTACAAGGATACTTGCAAAGATAGGCATTTTGACAAATACAAATGTGTGTAACCATTCAAGGCCTATAAAGCGGCAAAAATAACTCTGTTCAATACTCCTGCACTCTATGAGCACGTCTTCACATGAGCGCGCCTCTCTAAGAGTGCTCAGAAACAGTCTCTCAGACAGCGCGCGCATATAGCAAAATGAGTTCTCATTCGCTGTTGATTGCTTTAAGGGCCTAAATCACTTCATTTTAAACAGCAATGCTTAAAACATGTGCAAACGCTAAGTTTTCGTGACCACATAGTACAGCAACATCATGTGAGCGTGTAACAGCAATAGAGACGATAGTTCTAGTAGCTCAGAGATCCTCAATATTATGGTCAATGGCCATTAATTAAATAGGGTGCAATTAGGTGCATGTGCACAACGACAAACAAGCAGTGTGTTCAGCTGAGCGGACTTAGTGTCTTGGGTTTTTTGGGGGGGTCAACGATATAATTAGTCACGTCATGTGGGAAAGAAAAGACAACAGCATCAACTAGCCAAACGCATTTAGAAATCTGCCCACCTGATAGTAGTAGCCATTGTCCGTCTGGTATGGTTGTGCACTGATGTTGGGGGTCCCAAGTGCTGATTTCAGGATCTCCTCACAGCCTGAATCACAAAAAGACAAATATTAGTCCTGTCAAGACACGTCTCATAAAGCACAAACAAGAAAGAGATGATGCCCAGTTATTATCACAAATTCCGTGACTACTCTGCAAATCAATAAATATGTGGACATGAAATATCGATTTCAGTTGCCTGTATATTATAAAAATTATCTGTGTATTATAAAAATGAGTTAATAGACCTAAAACAAGATGGCTATTGATCAAGTTTGCATCACCACTCCTATATTAGTTAAGAAGGATTTTAATGTATCTATTTATTTTTCATTAGAGAAAAGATGCTTCTCAGATATACACTGACTAATTCAAGAAATGCGGCTTTCTCACTTAGACACTATGGCTATTGTACTGTATGTATAAATCAGCTTCTGTCACTTTAAATTTAATTTCTCTGTTTGACGACATCTTGTGTTTTCTCAAACCAGGCATGAATTATTAAACTACACCCTCTGTAAAATTTAGAGATTCTTTGCTCCACTTATGAGCGCCAGAAAAAAAAAACCCCCATCAAGATCCACGTTTTGATAAAAACTAAAATTTAGCACTAGATGTCATGTTGGAAAGAGGAACTGTTCTCTTAAATATATGGCTATATTGTTTCTCAAACACACAAACCCATCTGCAGAAATACAACAAGCTAAGTAAAATATCATGAATAAATAACAAACTGAGAGGCGCAGCGAAGGGCAGCCCAGGCCTCGGATCCATTTATAGTCACATAACTCAAAGTGTAGTGAAGGTTCAGTGCTCTGTGTGACATTTCAAGTGGGCCACAGCTCGCCTTGGCTCCGGGAATGTCCCGAATGGGAACATATTGTGGGCAATACATAAATATATAAAGCTGTGCACAATACGCCTGTTATAGAAGAGCAAAGATAGACCAATGGAGAAAGTGTGCTAACAATCCCACACCACACACAACAACGCAGTCTCCTCTGGGACCTCAAAAGGACACACATAGGCTTTGGCTTTGTAGACTTGCTGTGCATGCTGGGGATCAGGGATTGGGGGATTCATTAGGGAAAGAGTGAGTGGGAAGACCACTGGGGCTCATTAAACACAGGACACTGGAGGACAAAGTCTCTGGGCCTGGAGCCCATTTGGCCTGCCTGTGTCTCCCTCTTCAGCCGCTTCCATAGAGCGCTGGCACAGAGACGTCCCACCCGGGTCCCCGTGCCTGCTGGCAGATCTCTGCTGCATAAGTCTGCCAAGCAGCGTGAGTGTCCCTGGCTGACAAATGTAACCCTGTTTACTGCGCTCTTAATGACAGTGAAATAGGGACGAGCTAGACAAGGCAATACGTGTCATAAAACAGCTACAAATAATGTGAAATTAGATTGCTGAACCATGATTATGCAGTAACATTGTCTGTGAATACCTAAGAAAATCTCACAGTGATGCTTGACACTATAATCAGGAATAACATCCCCCCGTCTTTTAACTGAGAAGCACAACCCACGCTAACAAGTGAATTACTATGCTGTCGTTAAATGGGAAAATGTTTCAATCTGATAAACGGTTAATTAAAGGCACACCCAGAGATGCTCGTAATTTGTTGTTCAAATGTGGTTATTTTCAGTTAGGGAGATCAGCGGTGAAGAAGAGATCTCTAATCAGATTCTGCTCACTCAGGCTATTCATTATCCATTGCATTTCTAGATTTTCACCAGACACAGAAGTCAATGCAGAATGTTAAAAAGACAGAGCTGTGTGCCATTATCTGCCTTTGGGTTCTTCTGATTAATTGTTTAATAAAATAAAGTGATAATACTAGTCTGGAGATAAAATTGCATAAATGTCTGGAATGATGCACAACATGCTCTTTTTAATTCAGGGACATCATGTCTGTCGAAAGGAACATGGTGTCTAGCAACTAAGCTTTTATCTCTGGAGAGCCTTTCAGTTTGGCACACTTTGTGCTGAACTAACAGCTGTGTGTGACAGAACAGAAGAGATGTGCTCTGTATTTGATGCCACAGTATGAACATTTAGAGCATTAAAGGAAGGTATAGTATATATAAAAATTAATTTCATAATCAGTATTTTTGTCCTGCTAAAATCAGACATTCACTTGATAAGCAAATTTGAATATTTTTTACTAAACTAGTAATAAATATGCAAGTTCATTTTCTTAAACTATTATTATTATTATTATTATTATTATTATTAAACAATTTTTCAATGGGGTGAGGCAATTTTTTCACAGCCAAGTACTACCAAAGATTTTAGGTTTATATTTGCACATTCATGATTCTCTAATGTTGGTTAGTGATCAAATGACATGCAGTTAAACATATAAAATAATTTGATTGTTTTATTTTTATTGTTTGGTATTTTTAAATTATTTTAATTTTAGATTTTTATGATTTAATTAATTATTAGGTTTTCATCATCTCATGCACCAACTGCAGTTCTGTCACGAATCCCAGTTTGTGAAACCCGAGGTAAGGTATACACAATACATTTGATTTTCAATAGGGATGTAACGATTCACTCAACTCACGATTCGATTCGATTCACGATTCGATTCGATTCACGTTTTTGTTTAGTTTTTTTTACAAAATGAGATTTAAGACAAATTATTAATTAAATGTGTCCTTTTATTATTGCTTGGACAAAATTCTGCATGTTTCTTTGTGAAATTGAAATATAACACTATAATAATATACTAATATAGCACTTGTAAATTATTGCTCTTTTGTTGGTTTTGATTGCTTTTATTGTCCTCATTTATAAGTTGCTTTGGATAAAAGTGTCTGCTAAATGACAAAATTTAAATATAATGTAAAT